CCCAGCCACAAAACCGCCGCTCCCTCCTAGCGATTGTTTTTCTGGCCTTTATTTTTCCTTCCTCCCGCTGGAGGGAGGAGGGGGGCCGGTTCTCCCTTGCAGCCGGAGAAGAGCGCGGGGAGGGCGGGGAGTCACCGGGCGTGATAAGGAACTCGGCTGCCACTTTGAAAGTCCCTTTTAAAAAGGCTGCCTGATAGATTACTTTCCAGTTAAAGATATACTAGGAGGCGGGGCCACGTGATGGCCTGACGTCAGCGCCCCACTGCCAAGCCGGGCACAACTCAAGTGGTCTCCGGGAACTGTCAACAAAGAGACAACAGTGGGGCTCCGGGCGGGGGCGGGGAGGCCTCCCCAGTCCGGCGAGCCCGCTTGGTGGCCTGGCCTCTCCGGCCTTCAGAAAGGAGCCCCCCCCCCAGCCCAGCCCTCCAGCGAAAGCAGACGCCCCTGCGGCCCGGGGAAGTCCAGAGATCGGGGCCTGGGACAAGTTCTCGGCCTCCTGGACCCCCGGGGGTGGGGGTGGGGGTGGGAGGCGAGGCAAGAGGCCAATGCGAAGTGCGGATCCGCCGCTGCCGATCCCATGCCGCTGCTGAGCCCCAGCCTGGACCCCGACGCCCCTCCTCCCGCTCGCGGGGTTTCCCCACCACCCCCGCCCAGCACCCCCCGCGAGAGCACCTTGGGACCGCGAACAAGCACTGCCGCCCTGTTGTCATTCTCCGGTCGTCCTCGCCTCTCCCGCCCCCCCCCCGCATTCCCCCCCCAGCAGGATCAGCTGGGGACCGAAGATCAGAAAATGGCTATTGATTAGCCTGTTAGGAGAGTGGCAGGGAAAAACAAAAACAAAGAGGTGAAGGAGCAGGCAAACCAAAAACGGAGAGGGGGAACGGTGCGCGCCGAAGCCTCGAGCCGGCCGTTTTGTTAGGATCTGGCCGAGGTGTGAACGACTTCCTAATTGCTCCTGAGCATATGAAAGAGTCGGAAATGGGCGGCTGCGGTGTCAATGGGGGAAACTCTAATCGCCTCGGCTCAAGGTAAGCCGGCCCCGAGGAGATCCTCCTCCCCAAGGGGGCAGGAATGGCGGGGGGGGGGGAGAAGGAAAGTTTCGGGCGGAATCCGATTTCCCTCGCCCAGGCATTTGTCGACGGGATCCATTTCGATGGAGAACTGGCGGCTTAAGGAGGGAGCGCTGGCTTCAGCCGGGCCTGTTCACCTTCTGCGTCGTTGTAACCATTTCGGGGGATGCCGAGGACCGCGGCAGCACGCCGCAGACAAATCCTGCTCTTGAGTCGCAAAGGAAAGCGCGTTTGCACCCTCTCTCTACAGCGGGCCCGGCGCCTCTGCCTTCGCCCTTGCATTTCCTTCGGGCATTATATATATATATATATTTGGAAATATACAAATAAACGAAGTCAGGTGTTTTCTTTTCCCAAGGAGTTATTTGTGTGCGTGGGTGCGTGCGTGGCGATCGTGTTGTGTACCTCCTTTCATTCCATCGCCTACAAAAATCCCGGTCACTCTTGCGAGGCGAGAAGGGGGTTCCTCGGGTGCAGGGAAATGATCGAGGAGTTCGAAATGAAACGGAACGAGTCGAACGCAGCCGGGCCTGGATACAGAGGAGGGTGGGTTATGCCCTCCTGCCCTGGGAAGGGAGTGAAGGCGAGAGAAAGGGCGCCTGGGCTGGGGGTGGTGGGGGTGCGGGCGGTGTGTGTGTGCGTGTGTTCCCTCGGAGTCTCTGGGTCCCCCTCGAGGCCTTGGGCTCGCGCCTGATCTGGGGGAATGCGGCGTGGCTGGCTTGGAAAGGGCCGGTGCCGCGGCGGGGAGCGGCGGGCCTCCCATCTCGGCCGACTCGGTGCCGGCTTCTCCGGAACAGAGCTAGAGTGTCAAGCCAGCCCGCATCTTCCGAGCTCCCTTCGGCAAATCGATGGCTTCCCTCGAACGATCGGCCCCGTAAAGCAGGAGACATTTGGATCAACACCCATTAAGAAGGCATCACCTGTCGTTAAAGAGCAATAAGTAATGAACTTGCCGGCGCATCCCCGCCCGCTTGTGCGGAGCCGGCCGGCTTCAGGGGGCTGGAGGGCAACGTGCCTCCGTATCGATCAGGCCTGTGGAGGAAGGACCGCTCCCCTCCCGGAGACGTTGATCGGGGCTAGAAGAAGGTAATGAGGAGGAGGGGGAGGATTGGGGGAAACCACAAGGGCGTGGGGGGGAATGGGTGTGGAGAATAAGCATGAAACCAACCTCCCCCCCTCCCCACGCAAATACCCCCCTCCCCGTCCGGTGGGTCTTGTTTCTGTCCCCGGCCCCTGGTAGCTGCTGCGGGAGACTTTTCTGGCGAGCTGGCGTGCCCGCGCTGGGTCGCTGAGTGACGTGTTGTGTCTTTTTGGTTTTCCTTCCAAAGGGTCCTGATTTATGCTGTGCCATCGGGGCAGCAAATTACTCTTCAAAAAGAAAAGAAAAATAATAATGTCTTGTATATATAACATATATGATCAACCAGGCAATATATCGTTTTTAAAGGAATGATGATGACATCCTAAAATGGGTATTATTCCTGTCCGAAGGCCTTCAGTAAACACGACGGGGGCCTCTCGCTGAGTTTTGGCCTTCCCCGCCCACAGCGCACACACGAATGGGCCCAGGATCGCAAACGCGCCGGGTTCATGGGCCAGCCTCTCAGGGGAATGGATCGACTCTGAAAAGCCTCGGTTTCATTTGTTGCTCTTTTTTCTTTCGACACAATAAAAGTCAAATTAATTGATTCACACCATTAATTACGGTGCTTAGCGTGAAAAGAAACGTTTCCCCTCGATTAGGGATCTATTGTGCTAATCTCTTGTTCCATCAGTGTTACCATCTGATAGCGGGGCCAGAGATACAAGAGTGACAGGAGGGAGAGAAGGAAATGCTTTTTAGACCGAAAAGTTTGGGGACCCCCCACCCACCCGCCCGCCCGCCTTTTTGCAAGATCGCTTTTGGGTTTCACGACTGGACACAGGACACGCAGTCGCGGGACATCAGAGGGCGGTTTGGAGGGGGGAAGAAGAGGGATTTGGCTTCTTGACCACGGTCCCTTCTGGATTCTGTGGCGGCTTCATCTTGTTTTTCGGGGCATCTGTCCATCCCTCTTCCGGCGTCGCGGAAAACATCCTATAAAGCCTCCTACAAAGCGGTAGGAACGGGAGGCGGAATCAAAACGCGGGAGCGGCAGGGCTTCCTTATGTCCAAAGGTTAATATTGGGGGAAGGGACTCGAGGACGGCAGCTCAGGAGCCTGAGCAACGGGCCAGTCCCTCGGACAGAGCCGGAGTGTTAAGTAAATCCTGTGTGGAGCCTAATTGAGGTTTGCTCCTAAAACCCACAAGTCTTCAATCATCAGCGATAAACTCTCGGAGGATGGAGGCGGGGAGGGCGGGAAACCCCTGTCCTGATGAGAAGCAAACTTTCGCAGAGGGGCACGCCGGTCGCCGCGTTAATTTAGGAGAGTTTAAGGAAGGGTGCTGTCCCCAGACCTCGCTAGGTGGGCAGGGGGTGGGAGAGAGAAGAGATGTTGAGCTTAAAAGTGTGTGTGTGAGAGAGAGAGAGAGAGAGAGAGATTTGTTGTATTACACAGACGTGAGCACACACACGCACGCACGCACAGACAAAGAAACGGGAGACAAGAAAACTGTACAGTTCAGATCGATATGGAGTCTGATAGAGACATAACCAGCATTGGGGAGGGAGTTGCGAAAGAAGGCCGAAAACTTATGAAGGAAGAGGAGAAATTAATTACACCTCACTTTGGTTCTAATATGACCAAGCGATTGTCTGGCCGGGAAGCGAGTTAAAAATGGATCCTGAGACTAGGTGGGACTGGAGCGGAGCGGGGGGGGGGATAGAGGGGGAGAAATGGCAACGCGGGCCTGAGATCCCTCGCTCTGAAATCGTTTGACGGCGCGCGGGAGGAATCAAACGGGTCCTCTTTCATCTCCTTAACCCTATTAACTCTCGCTAATGAATTGCATAAATCGCTGGCCTGACCTGTATTAAAGCCGGATTGTGGTTTGTTATAAGAAAGTGAGAGTTGTAAAACAAAGAAAAACAAGGAAAATCGAAGAGCAAAACACAAACGCAAATAGATACATTTAAAAAAAACCCAAAAAACCCCTTCCACGTAGACCGGCCGGAGAATGAAAAAGATCCTGGTGAGCAATGCTCCATCTAAGGTGTGGAGTCCTGTGAGCAAAAATTCTACTAGCTAGGGGCATTCAAGTTGTGAGCGAGCGATTTGGCTACTGCATAAATTAGTTTGCTCTGGAGGCATCCTTCCTGAGCGAAGACAAAAAATGTGTGAGCTGGAGGCTAAAAAACTGTGAACTTGCTCACACTAACTCAGCTTAGAGGGAACACTGCTGGTGAGACCTCTGGATTCTGCCGTGAAACTGACCAATTTTCGGCACGTCCGGCTGGGTGGGGGCATCTCCTGGACTAGAAAGTAGCTTCCTTTTCGCCAGGATTTCTGGAGGACAAGCCCGGAGCGAGGGAGGGAGCTAAGAAGGGAGGGAGGGAGGTATGTGTTGGGCTGGGACTACTCAGGTGTCTCTGAAAAGCACCGCCGGGATCCAATCGGAGCTCCAACGGCCCCCTCTCTGCCGGCCCCCTGTCCAATTTCATTCACGGCCGCAGAAACAACTTGGCATTTAGTCCAACGGGGTTTTTCACAAACATTACCAGATTTTAAACGAAACAAAACACCATAAGTCTTTCATCCAAACTTGTCTTTCTTTGAACAAATCCCAAAAATAAATAAATAAATATTTCAGTTTTAATAGTTTTTTTTAAATACTAACAAATCGTCCAGGAAGAGCAGCGTGATGGGGAAGAGAACGGAAAAGACCCAAACAAAAATAGAGTCATGTTTCCAAAACGATATATTTATACTGGAAAAGTATAAACATCCATTCGG